TATAAAACCGCCTAGTAATGGAGAAATAAAAATAGGTAAGACCTTTAGGAAATAGAAATATATTTATAATATATTTTGCGTGTTTTTTATTTGTTTTTCCCCTAAAGAAAAACGCGAAAAAGAACGTTTGGAACGTCCCACAAAAATCATTAAACTTAATTCATCGTCAACAACCTCCGAACGTAGCGGTGGTGGTACTGGTGAGCGTGAATCTTCTAGTTCAAATCGTGCCACAGTAATTGAAATTAAAGATGAACCTTCTTCATCCAATTCTACTACAGCTTCGCATGAACGTGATTCAGATCGTCATGGCAGTAGTACACGTTCTCTTAAGGACATCATCAAAAAGGAGGAAGGACGTTTACGTGAACGAGATCGTGAACAACGTGATCGTGAGCGCGAACATCGTAATCAACTATTAGAGGATATGGAATCGTCATCAACATCACGTTCGAAAAGAGAGAAACGTCGAGAGGATCGTTATCGCAATGAATCGCCATCAATGGAAAATCAAGAGAGTGCTAGCAGTAAAAATGATTATGATCGTAGTGAACGTGATGCCAGAGATCGTGATTATGAACGCAATGAACGTGAACGTAGAGATCGTGATCGTGATTTGAGTTCGGTCTCGAATGAAAGTATTGGTTCGTTACAGCAACAGCGACGTAGTCAAGATATTTTAGAATATGAAAAAGGTGAGTGATGATAAAAGTTTTATTTACTTTATTGCCTCAATTGCAGAATAAGAAAAGCTTTTTTAACTTGATGTTTTACAATTTTTCTTTGAAAGAAAAGATCAGCTTTCAACTTTTTAAGAAGGAACCCGTTGAGAATAAAGCGGTTTACATATCTGATTGTGCATTTTATAAAGAGTGAAATGTTGGTTTTATCTCTTAATGAAGTTAATAACTTTCAAATTGAAAGTTAACTTTATGTGGAGAAAAGCTTTCTGCTATGAATAGAAAAACCTTCAGTTTATCTTCCTTTATGAGAAGCTATTCTCTAAAAAGAAAATCATTAAGCTTTACTCTTCTACAAAGAGAGAAGAAGAGCTTTCACTTTTCTTTTATATATAGAAGCATTTTCAGCTTCAACTTTTCTAACTTTCAGTTTAAACTATTAAATGTAGAGAAGAGCTTTTTGCTTTAACTCTTTCATAAAAAGACAAGTTTTAAACCAATCTGTGAACATAATATCACTCGGCTTTAACTCTTCTATGAAGAGAAAGGCTTTCATCTTAAAGCCCTGCACGAAAAAATAAGCTTTTTGCTTTAAATCTTTCCAGATTTCTGATTAAACTCTTCAATAAAACGAAAGATCTTTCAGCTTAAACTTTGCTATAAAGAGAAGAGCTTTTATCTTCAATACTTCCATGAAGAGAAGAACTTTTAAAGAAAATAAAGAGCTTTAAGCTGAACTATTAAATGAAGAGAAAATATTTCGTTTTTAACTTCTGTGGAGAGCTTTTAAGATTTTAGCAAACATCAATTATTCTATTCTGAGTAAAAGTTTCGCATTTAATTTCTTTCAGAAAAGTTTTAATTTCACTTTTATTAACATTATTTCTAGACTCGAAACGTCGCAAAATGGAATCATCATCATCCAATTCAAAGGTTAGTATTTTGGTGCAATCATAGTTACCTAAGACAACAACAACAATAGAACAACGAAAACAACATTAACCAACAACATCAACAACAATTAACAACATCAACACACTTGATGGCAATTGCGATGGCAATAAGAAAAAAATAATTAATAGAAAAGAAAAAAACAACAAAAATTTAACAAAGAGAGAGATCAGCTTTAACAACAATAAGCTTTTAAGGATCATAGTTTTCCACAACAACTTTTGTTCCTTCTCCAAACCTAAACTTAAACAATTTACCCTCATAAAGGATACACTCAGGGCTTTCATCCTTGTAACAAGTGAGAGAAAGAACTACAAGTAAAATTAACCTTAAAAGAAGACTTATTTTGGCTGGACCAAGTAAAATCCTAAACAAAAAAGAGGAAAACATTTTTAAAAAATGTTGAATTTTTCTATCTAGTAGCATTTTTTTTTTTAAATTTTACATACATAAGTTAAACAAAGTAAAAAAAAAGAAAATATGGTAAATATGTATAAGAATTTTTACAAAATTATATTTTGTAATTTCCAATATGGTAAGTACACGTATACCATGTTAAATTTTATTTAAATTAGTTGAAAAGTATTAATTTTTAATTAAAATATCTAAATTTTAATAGATAAACTTTACTAGACCTTTTCCATAGTAGTTAAGTTTGTGTATTAGTTTATTGTTTTAAGATTATTTTTAAATTTTTATACTAAAAATCAAAGGAAGAAAGGATTTATTTAAGTGTATATTTAGAATTTAAGTTAAGTATTTAAGTTATCTACATAAAAAGTATAGAATAAGCCGCAACAATGATGACCAACTTATGCTGTTAAGAAGATCAATAACAGTGTCGAAGAAGCCGACTTAAGTTAGATCAACATTGGAAGATTTTGCATAATTTCAAGGGCTGCTGTGAACAGAGTTTCTACTTAAAACAATGGATCCAGCAGTGTATACAAACAAATAGTTATCATCTGTTAGAAAGGTAGCAGGAGAAGACACTCAACTGTTTAAAAGTTACAATCCTAAGCAACCCATTGCGCATCATTTGGACCTGGCAGCTTCGTTATTTCTCATCCTGAAGGAGGAATAATATAACATACAAAGCTTCTTTCGTTAAAATTCGTTTTATCACAGGATGAGGAATGCAGTTAACGATCTTCAGCTAAATACCCATGAAGGATTCTCGTTTTCTAAAGATGTCGATTTAGAAATAAGGAAATTTATTAATCAAAATACCATTCCTTTGGCTGCTATTGAAACCTTATGTGATCAACAAAAAGTTATTCGAAGAACTTTATATCCTTGAATGAATGAAACTTAAAATTACTTAAAAATTATATGCCGTTTATTTTGTCGGAATTTAAAATTTGAACTGACTATCACATCACATGACATATAACTGCATTACGAAGAATTTCAACGATCTTTTACGATCTACATGCTACAACGCGATCTGTTTCTATCACCCTGCTTTGTGCGATACATAGAAGATAACGATCTAAGGATTTGATTGGTGTTTTGATACAGAGTTGACAGCTTTAGGCCTTTCTCATCCTGAAGGAGAAATTTGGAATGCAGTTAACAATCTTCAGCAAAATTTCCATGGATTTCCAGAATTCTCATTTTCGAAAGTCGTCGATTTTATAATACTGAAATGTATATAGCGGTCTTCAATTGAACTTAACTTTGAAATAACCCGGAAAAATACAAAGCAAAACTCGTCACCGACCAACAAAAGTTATTTGAACAGAATTTGCTAAAAGTTGAATGAATCCTGGGATGAAAGACTCAAAAACTATCAGCCGCTTTTTATCGGAATCTCAAATTTGAACGGACTATCACATCATGTGTTATACAATAATTTTACGAAGAAGTTAAGCGATCTTTTGCGATCTATCTTTCTTTACAACCTGCTTTTTGCTATCACGATCTATGGAGAAAATAACTGCTAAAATCCCATGATCTTCAACTGTATTTTTGCTACGGAATTGTATTCATTTATTACTACAAATCGACGTAAAAACTCTTTGACGTTTTATTTGTTGGAATCTTAATCTCAGGAATAACAACCTTCTTTAAACGATCTACAATTTCTATATGAAAAAGACCAACAATCATCTGCGATCTACAACAATTTTATCCTAATGCTGAATATAAGTGAACACGATCTGAATAGCGGTCCTTTATTTAATTTACTGGAATCTCAATTAGAAGTTGCTTGGATCCATAAAGGAAAATTTATAACATCTTTATGCTATGTACAACAATAATCTTCAACTGATCTTTTCTTCTAACATTTTCTTGGATCTTAAATGTTGAATTTATAAATACTTTGTGTGATCTTCGACAATTATACCGTGATGCTGAAAATATAATAAATAACTTAACCGATTTTTAAATCATTCTTTATCGATCGCTGTTTAATGAAGTTTGCAAAAGTAATCATCAACCGATCTTCTGTTAAAAAGTACTTAAAAACGATTGGTTCGTTTAATTTTCTGAAATCTTAAAAGGAGAATTCATAAATACTTTGTGCAATGCAATGAAATAAATATGACCTTTAACTGATATTCATAATAATCTCCAGTTTGTGGAAATCTAAAACTACTTAGTTTAGTGCATAAACGATCTTCAACTGCTATATTTCTTGAACGCGAAATTTGTAACTACTTGTGCGATCTACAACAATTATACCGTGATGCTTAAAAGAAATCAATATAAACTTTAACTGATAATAAAATGTATCTTTATCGATCGATATTTACTAATTTTCTATTAAAATCTACATAAAGTGTGACCATTTACCGATCATCTAATTGATCTCCAGTTTTATTTGTGGAAAACTAAAACGTTGTTTAGTTAAGTTTGATGAAACTGATCTTTTTCAACGATATTTCTTTGAATTTTCTTGGATCTTAAAAGGAGAATTCATACCTGTTCTGCGTGAACTTCAAAAATTATACCATTAATATAATCTTAGACCGATCTTCTGTTTACTTTTTGGAAATCTAAAACAATATTTACTTAAGAAGATCAGAAAAGAAATTAACATGATGCCTAACTGATTATAAAACATGATCATTGCTTCACTTTGTTGGAATCTCTAATGATATTTACATATCTCCCATTTGGTGTCATGTAAAACTGTTCCACGAAGAAGACAAACACGATCAGCCAAAATTATACTACAACGACTTATACGAAAATACTGATATTAAGTTGAAATGATCTTTTTGATGACATGAAGATGCTGACATGATCATCGTATGATCTTTGCATTTTCCGTTTTTGTGATCCATAATAATACTACAAAGAAGGCTAACGATCTGTTGCGACCTACAAAACTTATACGAAGATGCTGATATTAAGTTGAAATGATCTTTTTGATAATACGAAGATGCTGACTTGATCATCGGATGATCTTTGTATTTCCCGTTTTTTGTGATCCACAATAGTTCTACGCAGAAGACTAACGATCATTCGCGATCTACAAAACTTATAAAAATATGCTGATATTAAATTGAAATGATCTGTTTGATCATACGAAGATGCTGACTTGATCATCGGATGATCATTGTATTTCACGTTTTCGTGATCCACAATAGTTCTACGCAGAAGGCTAACGATCATTCGCGATCTACAAAACGTATATCAAGATGCTGATATTAAATTGAAATTATTATTTTATCATACGAAGATGCTGACATGATCATCGGATGATCTTTTCCAGCGAATTTCTATTGCTTAACGTTGTTGGATAAATCTTGCTTAACGATCTTTTCTCGGGAAATATGTAGAAGATAGCTGACTTATATTTTACATTGGATATTCGCTCCCGAAGTCGCCTATTCCATGCACCGACTGTGTTTTTTTACTTCATGATCCTAAATGAAAATCTAAGTGAACACCCTGGAAGAAATTCCAATAGTGGTTAACATCCCTTCAAGACATCGAAATTTAACAATATATAATAATAATCTATCATCTGAGAAGAGGAGAGATACTCTAGATCATTCATAAGAGTTCATGGTCAAAATATTGAATGTCGTAAACAACTTAAACTACACATATACCATAAACCTTACTCAATGGAATATTCTAGATGACAACAAGTATTTTGAAGTCATTAAACAACTACAAAAGGATTAACTACCTGAAATCTTAAGACAAAGATTTTTGCTTAATATCGCCAGCATATGATCGAGGAATTCCCCAAAAGCAATTAACAACTTTAACTACAAACGTAAAGAGATTTATTCAATCAACTTGAAAACAACTTGTTACGTATAAATCAACGTAAAGACTTCAACACTTGTACGCTTAAATCAACCTAAATCCAGTCGTATTATTGCTACAAAGGACAAAATCAGCTTTAAAATCCAGACACAAAATTTTCGAGTTTTCCCTTAATTTTATTCACAATCTTGAAGTTAATTGACATGGTTTTACCCAACAAAGGCTTAGTTGCTTGCTATCCAAGTGCTGTAGTGAAAATGCTGTATTGTTGTTGAAACGTTGGTCTGAGTAGAGAGTAAAAACTTACACACACATACAGAATTAAGAATGAACAAGAAAACCCTGCTGGTGAGCGGTGAGTGGTGAATATGACAAACTAAACATTTAAAATACAACAGCTTAGCTTAAGAAGAGAGAAGGGGGTTTTATTAACAATTGTGTTTAGAAAATGACTTAACAAATTTCTACTGTATTTAGCAGATTATTTTAAATGTATGACAAATTATGTTCTTTAATTACAGAAACAACTTATAGACGATCATAATGAACCTTCTAAAAAGGAACGTAGTGTCAAGAATAAAGATCGCAAAGAAAAATTAACCGATGAGGAAAAAGATGCCCGTAAGGAAAGAAAATTGGGTCGTAAAAGAGAACGTTTAGAAGAGACTTCCTCTACAGAGCATAAACGTCGTAGAGATGGTAGGTTTTTAAACAAAAAAAAGTTTTATTTAATTTGGTTTTAACTTTCTTCTCCTTACTTCTAGTACAAAATGGTGATGATGATCAGCAGCAGCAACGTGAACGCGATAAATATCATACCAGAGTAAGATTTCCCTAAAAAATAACTCGTTAACGAATTTTTTTAGTACATATCTTACTCTCTTTCTCTGTCTTTGTCTAATTTTGTCTCTCTCTCTCACTCTCTTATACAATCATAAACAAACATCTTAAATAATTTTCTATATTATTTAGGAAAAATCACCGCATATAAGAGATACACGCGAGAGATCCCATGAGAAATTTGAACGTGATCGTAGCAATCGTGATGATCGTTCTTATAGCAGCAGTAGTACAACCACAAAATCCACTAGATCCCGCATTGGTTATTAGAAACACTTAATTTTAGCATTTCTTTTTTTGTTTCTTCAACATTAGTTTTCGTTATTACAAAACAATTATCCGCCGATCATTTTATCATTATAAAATACTTATATTTTTATTGTCCGCATAATTACTAACTGCTAAGTGAATTTAATTTGTTTAATTTTTTTTTCTTATTGTATTGTATGAAATAATTATTAGTTTTTTCTCCCCCGCTTCATTAATAAAAATCATTTAATTATCACAAAATATACAATAAAAATTATTAAATAATAAATTTTAAACTTAAGTCTCTCAATCTCTCAATTTTAGTAGACTTTTACTCTGTGGTTAAATTAAGTCTAGAAATGTATGTTTAATATTAAATTAAGTCTATTTTTTGGAGCACTAAAATGTTTAGGAGATTCACGAAAATTTTCTATGCGTAATATTTAATATATGTTACTACATATTTTTATCTTTTCGTTTAAACTAAATTAGTAAAATAACAATAAAAAATCAGATCTAAATTGAACAAAAAACATTTGTTGGTTTTATTTTAAAGAATTGTTTAGGGATTTACTCTCTGTTGTGGTCTTTAATCCTAATGACAAGAAATTGACATGTTTTGATTCGATCCTTTTCTTGAAGTTTTAACTTTATTAAACGACGATCCATGTTTTTTCAGTATATAGCCCACAATCGTTCGATATTTCGGAACTATTACAAATATCTTAACGAAATTTCAGATAGTTGGAGCTGAGGTGGTTTCGAGTTGATTAATAGTTGTAGATGATCGTAGGCGGAAAAAATAGTTAGACGCATCCAAAGTTGCATCTCTATATTATGATATTGGAACTCTTCGCAAATGGTGTTCTAACAATAGAGATAATATGAAGATTAAAGTTTAATCTTCAAGTCATTTTGTTATCAATGATACCAAAAACTTTAGTTTTAGACAGTTTCTTTCTCATACAACATTCCCCGGTTAAGTGATAATATTTTAAACGATGCCAATTAGCACAAATTTTAGCAAGTACAATTGTTTCACAATATGTCTGTTTCCGTACTCGCCAATTTTACAGGCTTTAGTCAGGAAAAGTCACATATAAACACAAAAACATTGAAATTGAAATTTTAGTACAGGAACTACTTATTGTATAAACTTGCAACCCCAACGAGTGTGGGAACAGACATAATACTATTTTTTCAAAAATCCACCTAATTGTCCTCACAGACGGTTTATAAAGCAGCCCATGAAATGCCAACTGCCAAAGTAGTTGTGAATGATAGATGCTGCAACAAAAACTTCCAAAATAAACACTTCCCATTACTAATGGCAAAGTGTTTGTTTCTAGTTATTAAAAAGTTCAAATTTCCCAAAATGTTTCATTTATTTTCTATAAATAATAATTTTTATTGTTTCCCGCGCTTTTTCCAAAACAAATGTTGACAAGTTACAAATGTTTTTGCTATTTCTCAACAAATACTCTAGTATGGATGAATGTATGTGTGCTGTGTTTACAAATAACAAAGATTTTTGTTGCTGTTTTACTTATGTTTTGAATTGAGAACTGTCGTATAGTTTTGTTTGTGTATTATTTAATAACAACGCGTTTGTTAGTTTGACATTAAAGTTTGTCTGAATGCATTAGTGCAAAAAATTGGGAAAATTGAAAAGAAATTAATATTTATTTAAATAAAATGAAATTTTAATTACAAGTTTTTTAAATAATAAGTAAAATGAGTGTGATTAATTAATATTAATATGTTATTTCCAATTGTTCGTGTATAAAAGGAATGCAGTAAAATTCTGCTCAGAACAACTGTACTGTCAAGATAACTGCATCATCTTCTGGTGAGTTTTTTTTTTTTTTCGGAAGTCCTTTCATAATTTATACTTATATGTAATTATGTAAAGAGATTTAAAACTACTTTTATATTTAGTCACTTAATTTTAGTGATAAATAACATGGTTATTTATAGACATTAAGAAACTCCTAATGTTTGCAATGTAATTAAGGAGGAGGCTCCGCACTGTGGCGAATTCGATTTTTTCAACGTTTAATTCGACAACTTAAACAAATAAACCCGTAGGCTAGCGTTTAGTTTTCTAGAGGATTGAAGTCGACTAAATTTATCTATCTATCTATCTATCTATCTATCTATCTATCTATCTATCTATCTATCTATCTATCTATCTATCTATCTATCTATCTATCTATCTATCTATCTATCTATCTATCTATCTATCTATCTATCTATCTATCTATCTATCTATCTATCTATCTATCTATCTATCTATCCATCTATCTATCTATCTATCTATCTATCTATCTATCGATCTATCTAACACAATAACAGTATTACAAAAAGTAGGACGTAGAAAGGGTGTAAAATGGGGCATGAAATCTTATGAAAATATTTGTATATCATATTTTCTTTAAAATTTCAAAGAATTCTTCAAAATAAGAATATTGAAATACTTTTTGTTTTTATTTTGTTATATCTTTTTTATTAATATTTTTCGTTTTTCTATTATTTTTTTGTGCAAATAACAATATATTTTATATAATATTAATAGTATTACCATTTATTTAGTTTATATTCTATATAATTTTTTTTTAGCAACTGTGCTTTTCTTTGGTTTAATTTACTATTTTTTTATAAATAATACAAATTAAAAAATTATTTACCCTCCACATTTAAAATTTAATAATAAATTACTTTACTGTCATTTGTATTATTTTCACAAATTTCAAATATTTAAAAGTTCCATAAAAATTTTAAAAAATGATTTACTAGGAATGGAATGTTTAGAAATTTAATTCAAGATTTTTTTATAACAATAAAATAATTAAAATAAATTAAGAAGCCAATTCTTATAAATTCTAAAGATAACATAAATTTAAATAAAAACAAACAATTATAAAAGTTTGTGGAGGATATATACTAGATATTCCAATACTAATTATAACTTAATTAGAGAAAATATATAAAAATTTCTTAATATTTTATTTAATTTAAACTAAGTTTTTGTTTTAATTATTTAGTTTTTTTTTTTTTTTTTTTTTTTTTTCAAAAAAAACTCGCACTACAAACACAAAAACATTTTATCTAAAATTTAAAATACGCTCTTATTTTTTAGGTATCTTTTTTTTATTCTTTAAAATATATATTTAGTAGTTTTAATAATATTTTATTTTTTTGTAGTCGCTTAAATAAATTATTAAGTTTGTGTTCCTGTTTGCTAATATTTTCTTTGGTTTCTATTTTTTTAATATTATGAACTATTGTTTTTTTTTTGGGGGGGTTTAAATGTTTGTTGTTCGTTTGTTTCTTTGGTTGTTGTTTAAAATCAGTGTATAAAATATTTGTTAATTTTATTATTTTGTTGTAGTTTTGTTGTTATTGTTAAGTATACATATTGTTTTTTGTTGGTAGTATATTTTATTGCAACGCTTATATTTTATTTGCTTCAATATTGTGGGTTTTATGTTTTTTTTATTCATTATTTATTTTCTTTTATTAAATGCTCTTCCAAAATTGTTTCGTTATTTGTATGTATTATTTTTTTATTAATTGCTACTTCCTTGTGTTTATTTGTTTTTTTAATTCGTTTTTATTTTTTTGTAAATTTTACAAAAAACCCATAAAGAAAATTTTGATTCTAAGGCAACTTTTACCATTGATATGATATTGTTTTTTTTTTTTTTTAATTTTTGGTGTATATCGTTAGAAAACTATAAATGTATGCAATGCAATGTAATGTAGTGATAAATGATAGAACTAATGTATATTTAATAAAAGAAATATTAAATAAATATTAGAATTTAATTGTTGAGTTTAGCAAAGTTAAATTATAAATGCTTTCATATTATGGAATTGAACTGAACTAGAACTGAACTAGAACTGAACTAGAACTGAACTAGAACTGAACTAGAACTGAACTAGAACTGAACTAGAACTGAACTAGAACTGAACTAGAACTGAACTAGAACTGAACTAGAACTAGAACTGAACTAGAACTGAACTAGAACTGAACTAGAACTGAACTAGAACTGAACTAGAACTGAACTAAAACTGAACTAGAACTGAACTAGAACTGAACTAGAACTGAACTAGAACTAGAACTAGAACTAGAACTGAACTAGAACTGAACTAGAACTGAACTAGAACTGAACTAGAACTGAACTAGAACTGAACTAGAACTGAACTAGAACTGAACTAGAACTGAACTAGAACTGAACTAGAACTGAACTAGAACTGAACTAGAACTGAACTAGAACTGAACTAGAACTGAACTAGAACTGAACTAGAACTGAACTAGAACTGAACTAGAACTGAACTAGAACTGAACTAGAACTGAACTAGAACTGAACTAGAACTGAACTAGAACTGAACTAGAACTGAACTAGAACTGAACTAGAACTGAACTAGAACTGAACTAGAACTGAACTAGAACTGAACTAGAACTGAACTAGAACTGAACTAGAACTGAACTAGAACTGAACTAGTACTGAACTAGAACTAGAACTGAACTAGAACTGAACTAGAATTGAACTAGAACTGAACTAGAACTGAACTAGAACTGAACTAGAACTGAACTAGAACTGAACTAGAACTGAACTAGAACTGAACTAGAACTGAACTAGAACTGAACTAGAACTGAACTAGAACTGAACTAGAACTGAACTAGAACTGAACTAGAACTGAACTAGAACTGAACTAGAACTGAACTAGAACTGAACTAGAACTGAACTAGAACTGAACTAGAACTGAACTAGAACTGAACTAGAACTGAACTAGAACTGAACTAGAACTGAACTAGAACTGAACTAGAACTGAACTAGAACTGAACTAGAACTGAACTAGAACTGAACTAGAACTGAACTAGAACTGAACTAGAACTGAACTAGAACTGAACTAGAACTGAACTAGAACTGAACTAGAACTGAACTAGAACTGAACTAGAACTGAACTAGAACTGAACTAGAACTGAACTAGAACTGAACTAGAACTGAACTAGAACTGAACTAGAACTGAACTAGAACTGAACTAGAACTGAACTAGAACTGAACTAGAACTAGAACTGAACTAGAACTGAACTAGAACTGAACTAGAACTGAACTAGAACTGAACTAGAACTGAACTAGAACTGAACTAGAACTGAACTAGAACTGAACTAGAACTGAACTAGAACTGAACTAGAACTGAACTAGAATTGAACTAGAACTGAACTAGAACTGAACTAGAACTGAACTAGAACTGAACTAGAACTGAACTAGAACTGAACTAGAACTGAACTAGAAATGAACTAGAACTGAACTAGAACTGAACTAGAACTTCTTTAAATCATTTTATATTATGATCCGAACCTTGAAGAAATCGAGAGAACTTACAGGCAAAGTATTAAATAATATTATAGTTAATATTTAAGTTTAGAAAAAATTTAAAAAATAAATTGATGAAAATGATTCGTTGTGCGTTCTTTGAGTATTTCCATGCATTTTCCATTTCTTAGATATTTGATTATGCGAGTATGTATTATGTATGTTTTGTGCGATAAATGCCGTTATATTAAATAGTATATGATTTTCGATTCGCTATGATATGATCAGTGATATATTAAACATTTAATACTATTAAGTATCAAAATGTTAGACGAATATAAATGTTTTTAGTATTGCGTATTATATTATAAATTATACTACTTTTTTATTATTATATTTTAGCGCTTTTCTTAGTTTTTTTGTTGGGGTTTTTTTAAAAATATTGTGCTTAAATTCAACATTGACGTATTTAGGGTGATGAGAGTTTGATTTTTAATAGGTGGTTAAAAGTTTAAAATTTTTTTGTTTATAAAATGTTGTTTTTTCACGTTTTCAAAATGTAAAAGTGCGAATTTTGTTAAACAAAATTATTTATAATCCAGGAAGAGGATATGATTATGGTTTAAGATAAATGTAGGTAATAGTAGAGTGCTCCAAAGAGATGTAGTTGACGAATATTAACAGTCCGCTAATTTAGAAGTGTTTTTAGGCCGCTAGTATCAAGATTCTGAAATTTGGGAAAGCATTACAAGGAGAAAATATAGTTTACGCAAGTTTCTTTATTTTCGTGTGAAAAATAAATGAAAATTTTTCAAATATTGCCAAAGTTGACCCTTGACCTTAACAGTTTAGAGGTTAGCATTACGGTTCTAGTTAACGTGGTATATTAATAACCCAGAGAACAATTTTATAGGCATTTCCTATAGCTGAATCTTTTTTGTCAGCTATAAAACTTTGGAGCTCTCTAACGTAATAGTTTTGGCCAAATGGTATGTATGTGTTTTCGGAAGCAAGAGTGAGGGATAGACAAATGAAGGTGAGTTTTCAACATATAATATTAATAATTATATTGTTGTTTGTTTATTTATATTTTAATAATTCCACATATATTTTTGATATATGTGTGTATTTACGTTTAAATAGTTGTTTGTTGTTTCTGTGGTGTTTTCATTTCATTTTAATTGAATTTATTGATAAATTTTATTTGATTTTTGTATGGAAACGGCAGTGTTCCAAATGGGCAGCATTGTTTTGTATTTTTCTTTTCTAGTTATTGTGTTCTTTTGTTTATAATGATCATATCATCATCTTCAAACATTAACTCGATCGATTGATCGATCGTTCGTAGGTCTACCATTTCCTCCCATACAATGCTCTGTTGTCGTGTGTCTTTCATTCCTCAAAACACGAGTCCAAAGTATAGAAAAACTATACTTTGGACTCGTGTTTTGTGTTTTGATTTAAATTTCTTTTGTGATTTCTCACAGTTTCATAAATTAATTTTCTTAACGTGTGTGTGTGTGTTGCTAGACGTCTTTAATTAATCACACCTGTTGAAGCAAAATTACTGCTAATTAATGGTTCGCGTGAATTCACAGATGTATTGGATGGATCCAAATGTTGTATCTCATTGGACAGTGTAAATTCTGTTGAGGTCTCCACTGAGTCATGTTGACTTTGGGTCTGTTCATGTCGGCGCGGCTTAGCCACATGTGCTGCATCTTTATTTTGAGCATTACCATCGGTTGCTGGATAGCTAGAGACACGCTTTAAAGCCTTTCCGTTTTTTGGAGAGGAAGTGAAATAGTAAAAGAAATTTTAAGTTATTTTGAGTAAAAACAATATTATATTATTTTATAAGAACTGATGCAAATAGATAATTATTAAGTGCTAAGATTATAGTGCATTATACATTGACTAAGGGAGACATGCAAAAAATAGAAAAAATTAAACAACAACAAAGTGTTCTTAAAACAAGCACATATAAACTTATTTTTGGTCATAACCGGTTTTGCTATACCAGTAGTTTTCAAAAAGCGGATTAATAATGGACCGATTCTATACGTATTTAGTACGTTTACAAAAGTAACTTTTTAATATTTAAAGAAATCTTTTAGATCTTAAAATTGTATTTCGAAAGTGACCCTTTCAAAAAGACTTGGACTATAGACCAACATGACACTTAAAACTAATTCGGCTAGGATTTCTTATAATTATATCCAATTATGGCTCTTAAAACGTTGTTGGTATGTACAGGAACTATATAATATTATGGACCAATTTCTACTTCGTTGTTGGCCTTTGTAGCAAAATTTTTTTAATTATTTTGAAAATTTCGACCTATATTTTGAACACAAACTAAACGTATTCCCAATGAATATTAAGGGCGCTTCAGACGATCACACTTTACGTTAGACAAGTCTAAAGAAAAAGTAAAATGAAATTCCATCCGTATGACAAAAGTCGTATGATTTATATTTTTTTATAAAACAATAACCAAGTAAGATGAAAACAGCTGTTTCACCTTTTTTGCATGTGTTTACATAAAAATACACCCCTGATCTAATGCGACTTGCTTCTGTTTTGAGTCATTCAAAAAATGAAGAGAGCCATACGACTGTCAAATTTTTCATCCGTATTTTCTCTCAATGTGTGATGGTTTCATTACATATTGCGTTTAGACGATCCTTAGATTATCTTCTTCTCCTTAGACGTTCTCTTCTACACAAAATTTTGACAGCTCATATTACTTGTGTGCTCGTGTGAAGGGGGCTTTAGTATGTATTTTAACTAAATAATATTATGGACCGATTCCAACTTCGTTGTTGGCCTTTGTAGCTAAAGTTTTGTATTATTTTAAAAGTTTCGACCTATAATTTGAATACAGACGGCGAAAGACTTTAAAAGACTTAGGCAGTGGTTCTCATCCGATTAGAAGATATAGAATGAAACTTATAAAGCATTGTTATATAAATTAATGATTTGTTTTGGATTTATCATTAAGATCTTGTCTCAATCCATTTTTCGTTTGAAACACGTTTTTAGGAACGACAACCGATTTTAACCGATTTCTCGAAATCCCTTTTACCAATAAGCAACTCTTATAAGTTCTAGTTAAGTGACTAACATGTGCTCAATCTTAAATAGGTTTTGCAGATTATTATTCTCTATTATATTATCAGATAAAATAAGATCGGCATTTGTCTTGAAGTGTATTACATATCTCTATCCGTTCCTGTCTTGATCGTCTGGCCAATATAGTCAGAACCTTTCATTAAAATATGTGATTCCAGGTTTAAAATTTTCCGACTTTTCGTCATTTTCCCCCTATAAGATTGTCGATTTATCGGTATGTTTAACAAAATAGTCGTCTTTGACTTTTATCGACAAGGAGTCAATTGTTCGAAAGCATATTTATAGAACTCTAGGTCTCAAATATACAAAGCTTTTTGCAAAGCTATAAAAAATAAAATTCAAAACGTAATTCGCATTTTAAGATCACCCTAGTTACGAAAAGGAGCTTGATCTGATCTGAATGGTGTTCTTAAGCAAAACTCTTTTTCTTCTAATTAGTTCAAAATTCCTCAAATAATATAGAATACGCAATGAACTTTTTCATCTTGGAAGGATATACATTTTTATTTGATTTTGGGGCACAATTCTTAATAACGGGTCAAATCAGATCAATCACTGGGAAAAACTCCGGTCCCCGTAAAAATCCGAAATAAAAATAGCCGACTTCGACTTTTTTGATAAACGTCGATTGTTTGAAAGTAGATTTATAGAACTCTAGGCCTCAGATATACAATAAATTTTGTGAAGCTATACAAATGAAAATTCCGGACGTTACTCTATTTACGAAAAGGAGCTTTACCTTGATCTGGCGATTGGTGGTGGTGGTACTATTCGATTTACCTTACTTTCACTAAATATGTTTGAACTAAAAGGGTTCCAGATATAAATTAGCATCGCATAGCTTAGTGTCCTAAGAATTGAAACGATTCAGTTCTAATTTCATAAATTTTTCCAAGACCCAGATATTTTTATCGACCGCAATCAAAATAAAAGCATAAATTCAATAAAATTTCTTTATTAAATTATAAACAAATAAAGTTTCTACCTCTAGATATCATGCAAAGCAATGATTCAAAAATTTTGATAAATTTTAAAAAGTTTGTAAATTAAGGGAAATTTTAAAAACACATGCATTTCCAAACTAAAGTTAAAAAACAATTTCGAAACTAAATTTGTTTTTTGTTGTCTTTTGGAGGGTGCAATACGTACAGTATTAAACACTTAAAGGTGAATTAAATTAACGTCTATTAGCATAATTTAATGCAATTTTTGGTTGGAGAGGGGTGCTTAAACAATTTACATAAATTATATTAAGTGTGGGTTTACAAAAGATATTATCTTAATACAATATATTTTGTGATTTTTTGTATTTTTTTTTTAACTATAAATATACAAAACCTTATCGCTTAAAAGATCCACGGCATTACTAGCTGATATAGATTCATTGACAGGGCAAATATTTTTACTAGATGAAAACTTTTTACGTTTCTTTTTTAAAGCGGCAATAGCAGTAAGACCTACATAGTTTTTTTTTTTTTTTTGTTATATATCAAGCGTCATACCAAAAGAGAACGAAAAACGAAAGAGAAAAGGAAAAAAGTCACATACCTTTCCATTTTCGAAAAAAAAAATAACAATTGCATTCATTCATTTACCCGTGGTGGTGTGAAAGAAATGTGTACCTGCTGCTGCGCCTGCTACACTCACACCCGGTACAATATGATTGGGTGTTAGATGATCCTTATTTTGTGATAAATTATGATGACGCACCTCATTGGGATTGTAATAGTTGGAACCACCGCAATTTTGTGAATATGTTACCCGAACTTGACCGTGTACCGGTGAAGAGTTATTCGAAGAATTGCAAACAGAATCCTCGGACTTGGAACGTCCTAACATTTTCGAAACATTACCCACTTTGGCGGCCTCTATCAGAGTGCCCCATTTCTTTTTATGACCCGCTATACGTTTGTTATAGGGCTTCAAAGTGGACTTATTGTATTTGTTGGTCGATTGCACCGTATTGACGGTGTTAGTCGAAGACAAAGTAGTTGGTGGTGGTGATTCCATACTACAACTATCACTGGCACAGAAAGTGGCCTTTTTATGCATAAATGTCGAGGGATGAAAGAGATTCGAAAGTGTTGACGTTAGTATCTCATGTTGTTGTTCAAAATTATCCAGTGAGGTGGAAAATTCGGCCACCGGAGCCAAGGAACCGGTTGAGCCCGGCGGTGCTATGTTGAAACCTTTCATTAGACGTCGTTCTTTTTGGCGATTCTTTTTACCACCAGCTCCTTAGGCAAAGTATTCATTAAAATATGTTTTTTAAGGAATCATTTAAGCCTTTCACTTACCTCCCCCTTGTCCCGATGTAACATTAGTATCCATGCCACTGTTCTTAAGTATCTCCACCAGTTCACAGCGGAACGCCGAAATATCTTGTTTAATTTCATTGACATCATCTTCGGTAACACCTTGGGATTCTGCTTTACGTTGTTCTACGGTTACATAACGTCGTACTAGGTTCCGCATTATTTGTTGATATTTGAAATCACGATCATTGGCCTGTTGGGCTTTGCGCTAAGGTAGAAAAAAATTAAGCAATATTATATCAAAAGTTTTAAGTTTCTTCTATATCTTTTTGCTTACCCTTATTGTCTTAAGATGTTCCCTTCTGGCTGCCGAGGAACCACTACAAAACACTCTTCGAGACCATTTAAATGCATACCATATGGATTTTGGCGTGGGAATTATATTAAAAGGAGGTGGACAAGTGCCACCCTCTTCAAAATAACTAATCCATAATTTAGATCTAGCAAATTTCCATTCAACATCAGCTCGTTCCTAAAAGTAAAAACTAAATTTATAATCTAGTTCAATTCAAGAAGTTTAAGATATCGTTTACTAACCGATATCAATTGATAGGAATGATTCATCATGGCTATTAAGAGATTCAATAAAACCACTATATTAATCACAGAATAAGTGCCAAACATAAGCATGCCCCAGAAACGGGTAAAAATCTTAATGCCATCCAATTCAAAACTGTCCAAATCGATTAAACCAAACACCGCCCAGAATAGAGTTTGTGTGGTCTCGAAAAGACTGGTACAAAGAAACAAAAACAACTTTACACCCTAGAAATACTTTTAAATTACTACAAAACCTACTTGGAAAATCTGCGCCACACTATGCAAGCATTAGGATCTGTGGTACCATTTAAGTTGATCAAAACATTATGAGGGGAAACCTCAGGACAGCGTTTCTTTTCCAAATCAGCATAATACCTGATACAAACATTTTTCCGATTTCTCTTTAGATAAAAATATAAATTTTCAAATACTCACCACAACAATTGATTTAAACCACTGCCAAAAGCAAATAAGACCAGAACATACAAAAAGAAAAATTTCATAATATCCATGACCATGCGTGACAATGACACCTGCAGTGGTCCCAAATGTGGATTTACCGAGAATATGTAAACCAATTTGAGGCTACTGAAAATGTTGGCCGCACTAAAGAGACCTTCCGATATAAGCATTGGATCCCAGGTATCCCAACGCTCACGCGGTAGATCGGTAGCATGTGGATTAGTTATCATTTCTTTTTGTACTTGAAAAAATGATACGACCCTCAAGGCCACCGTAGCCACATACAGTGAATTGGTAACAAAATCTATAACATTCCACATATCATTTAAATACTCCTGCAAACCTACATCCCACAATTGTTTTACTTCGCTCCATATTAAACCTAAAATTTTGGGAAATTATGATAAAATTTTATTATTACGCAAACAAAAAAGTTAATTAAATATCAACTTACCACTAACCCAAGATAATATTAACCATTCTATAAATGTGGGCTTAGCTCCTCTTTTAGTGGGCAATTCTTCTTCCTCGTGTACCATAGAATTTGAATCGGACCAAAACCACCAGCCACCAATAAACGTCTCAATACGTTGTGAAGCCAACATTAATAAAACTAAAGTTAAACGATTTTATCGGTTTCTTGACAAATTTCAATTTTTATATTCAATACTTACACAAGAATGTAAAATATGAGGCACTATGACATATAAATTTTATAAAAGGTTTTCTCATAGTTTGTCCAATACTGGAGTAAGGTGCCAATATGTAGGCCAATGAAAATATTGGAAACATCATGCCTAAAGTGTAAGCTAAAGTTAGCTCAAAGAAATCATTGAAATTATATTTGTTCTAATACCTATTCTTATTATATCCAATGCTTGTAGGGCCATATTTTTGCGCCGGAATCCGGGTAATCCTTCATACCATATACTAGCTAAAAGTTGCTGAACATTAGGATGGGCAACGAACTGAAATTTTAAAGAAATTTCAAAGATAAGATCAAATTTTTAAAATTTGTGTTCACTACTTTAATCGCACAATACAACTTTACTCTATCCGAATGAAGTGGATGAAGTAGACTCTTCTACAGTTAGATCTAGTCGACTATAATCTGAGATCTCAAAACTCAGAACACGACAGGCCTACGTAGGTTAGGAGATCGTATTTAGCTATCTATCTATCTATCTATCTATCTATCTATCTATCTATCTATCTATCTATCTATCTATCTATCTATCTATCTATCTATCTATCTATCTATCTATCTATCTATCTATCTATCTATCTATCTATCTATCTATCTATCTATCTATCTATCTATCTATCTATCTATCTATCTATCTATCTAATCTATCTATCTATCTATCTATCTATCTATCTATCTATCTATCTATCTATCTATCTATCTATCTATCTATCTATCTATCTATCTATCTATCTATCTATCTATCTATCTATCTATCTATCTATCTATCTATCTATCTATCTATCTATCTATCTATCTATCTATCTATCTATCTATCTATCTATCTATCTATCTATCTATCTATCTATCTATCTATCTATCTATCTATCTATCTATCTATCTATCTATCTATCTATCTATCTATCTATCTATCTATCTATCTATCTATCTATCTATCTATCTATCTATCTATCTATCTATCTATCTATCTATCTATCTATCTATCTATCTATCTATCTATCTATCTATCTATCATCTATCTATCTATCTATCTATCTATCTATCTATCTATCTATCTATCTATCTATCTATCTATCTATCTATCTATCTATCTATCTATCTATCTATCTATCTATCTATCTATCTATCTATCTATCTATCTATCTATCTATCTATCTACCTAACTAATTAGTAACTTACTAAGTAACTCCACTGTACTCTTCTCTACTCTCCTCCAGTCAGTTCTAGTTCTATGAATCCGAAACTTCCAGATGAAATGATTTTACTCTGGACGAATAAAATCCCCTCCCTCCTAGTCGAATAAAGTCTGCTCCAACTAGTTTGGATCTAGTGGACTTGGGAAATGCTGGTTTCCTATAAGTATTGTTCTTACCTTCTTCTGCCTGAGTTTAATGGCCAATTTTAGGCGATTTAAATGCATACGTTCACCATGTTCATAAACTGGACCGGTAGGATCATGATTTAATAAAATTTCCAATTCATGAGATGTACGTGTATGATCTAGTAAAGCGGTAGCAAAATCCTGGCATTGTTTACGCAATTCCTGATATTCATTCTAAAAATTTTGAAAAATTACATAAAAATTTTACAAAATTAAATTTCTTCTAAAACCTTAAATTCATGTTCCAAAAAACTTAAACGTCTCAATTCCCAAGACAATTCAAATGCAGTTAAAATAGGATCCTTAGACGACAAGGCAATCAGACTTGGACTGGCCAATGCACGATAGGCATTAATGCGTGAGCGCGAATGACGTAAAGAGTCTTCTTGGCGAGATTGAACACATTCATCACAGCCACAGCTAGGAAAAGGAAAGGATAACATAACGAAAAGGATATCTCATATTAAACTAAAATCTTAGTTACCGCACATCATGAGGCATGGGTAAAACAGCACCACGATCTAGTAAAATTTTTATAATTTCATAATTATCACGATGAGCAGCCAATATTAGGGGTGTTATATCGGGTGTAAAGGTAGAGGTATCCTCCGAAGAAGATTCCCAGCTCTAAAGGAAGATAAGCTAATTATTTATTACAATAACTAAAGATAAAAAAATCCTAAGAACCCACATGATTTCCCTCACTATGAAAGGTGACATTCTCATGATCCAATAAAACTTCCACAGCCTCCACAAATTCCTCCGATATGGAATGTAATAAAGCATCTTTAGTGTCTACATTATAGTTAATCAACAGTTCGACCATTTCCAAATTTTCATTATCAATGGCCATTAGTAGAGCGGTACGGCCCAAAGGATCTACACAATTGATATTGATGTTGTCGGTATCTTGGGCTTTTTGCAGCATACGACGTGTACCTGCCATATCACCACGTTCTACCGCCAACAGAAATTTCTTTTCTTCCAATGTCAATTGACGTATTTCCTGATGAGGCCTTATACAATTCTCCTCCTCCATCATGCCGTGTATACTGTGGCGCTAAATAAGGGAGTAAAAAGAAGAAAAGTTTTCGTTTAGTTTTCTGTTTTGTATTTAAAGAAGGTGTGTGTGTGTTGTTGTCTGGGTGTGCAAAGTTAAAGATACACAAATCGTAGACCTGAAGGTCAGGTCACTACTATACAGCTTCACATCAACTTTTACAATATTCAATCGCTGCAAACGAAGCTAACAAAATGTACATACATACATACATACATACATACATACATATGTATTTATGTATGTCTGTATGTATTTGTATATAAAATTGCAAACATTTTATTTACCTTGACCCTTTTAGCCGGTTCTATCTGCACACTAATATGTCCCGTACTGTCGGTGCCATTGGATTTCTTTTCAGTATCGGAACCAGCACCTCCACTGCCACCACCACTACCACTGTTAGCATCAGTACCATTTTTGATTTTACTTAAGATTGGTGCCAACACTGATTTCCTGCGTGCCGGGCTGACAAAATGTAATTTTTTTCCTTCTTCTGCAAAATAAAAACACAGAAAATGAAAAACCAACAAAATAACTACTTAATCGTAATATTATCAAGGATCTTTAAGATTTCATACGATTACACATACATACATACTACCAAACATCTTGCTACATGACATTGATTATGCTGTTGATAATGTTGATGTTTCTGATTGAATGGTGGAAGATTTGCAACAGATTAATTTAAAATCTGATTTGTATTATTGAACTTTATTTTCCAATTTCGTTAGAAGGAAGCAAATAATAATTGAGAAGTCATTTTTACGCATATTTAATTCAAGGTTTATCTGCTACATTAGATTATTTTTATGGCAGTTGCATATACGTACATAGATGTGTTTAACCTTGTATTTCTTTAGAGATCTTGAACAACATATGAATTCTAACATTTTTCCACACTGACAAGTTTAATTTATTGAGAGAAGAACAAGTTTAATTTATTTCTAATAACACTGTGTGACAACAAAAAATTCCTCATTATGTGACTAAGTGCGATTTGAATAGATCACCTATATATATTTTTTCCAATATAACCCGAAATTAGGTAGTTATGCCCCCAAAAAAAATTAATCTCATATAGGACCTCTCAGTCGATGCATATCAATGGATTGAATACAAGATCAATAAAAACAAGTAAGAAATTATAGTCGGGCGTGGCCGACCATATGATACCCTACACCAGTTATGAATATTAAATGTGATTTATTTTTCATAATAAAGCATTTATCTTTAATATTCCCTTGTTCCGATACATTTAAGCAATTTATGGATGAAAAACTAATTTTCTGAAAGAGGCTTTATATGGGGGCTAGGGGCAAAAATGGACCAAGCCCGATAAAATTTTGTGAATATATTTATATTGACATAATATTTTATTGTGCTGAATTTCATCGCGATATTTGTGTTTATAAGCTAATTTGGGACATTCAAGTAATTTTCTGAAGGGGACTTTGTATGGGAGCTAGGGTCAAATGTGGCCCGATCTTTATGAAATTTGGCAGGGTCATCAAGACTTCTATAAAACTTAGTTGTGCCGTATTTTATCGATATATCTGTATATTTAACATAATTATGAGCTCAGAAGCCCTTTTCGGGGGGTTCTGTTGTATGGGGGCTAGGTGAAATAATGGACCGATTTTAACCATTTTCAATAGGCTTCGTCCTTAGGTCAAATAAAACGTGCGTGCCAAATCCAATTTCATTATCTTGAAAATTGCGACCTGTACCTTGCGCACAAGGTTTACATGGACAGCCAGCCAGACGGACGGACATAGCTTAATCGACTCAGAAAACGATTCTAAGCCGATTGGTATACTTTAAGGTGGGTCTAGGACGAATATTTTTGTATGTTACAAACATCAGCACAAATCCAATATACCCTACACCACTTTAGTGGTGTAGGAATAGTCCTAAGTTCCCTACCAGCGATTGAAAATCCTGACCTCAGTGTTTGTGAAATATATATATCCAATAATTTTGATATGGGTCTGTCTAATTTTGAGCTAATTATAGGAAAAATAGTTTAAAATTTCTTTTGGAGTATTATCGGTTCATAAATCGAAATAATATGCATTGTTTGAGAGGTTATGAGTTAGTTATTTGAAATTTAAGTCCATTTCTGATTGACACTTGTACATTTAAATAATTGTTGTTTTCTAAGGCTATCAAATCAATCGATCAATCGACCTAGATAAAAGTTCTTATGCCAGAGTAATACGACGCGAAAAAGTTCTACATGAGCAGCGACTTAGTGATACGATTTTTACTGTTATTAGGGGTGGTTCGTCTAGAGCTGGTTTTTTAATTCTGACTCTTTTCAAAGATGACCCGGTTGATAAAGCTAACCTGAGTTATTTGCAAATAATTCTCGACTGTCAGAAAGAGATCAACCACTGCTGGAGTTCGAAAAGGGAATCGAAAACTATGACAAATATATATTGTTTCGAGCGGATAACGTTAAAGAGTTTTAATCGATCTTAACATAAATAAGTCCCCTGGACCAAATGTTCTAGAAGCAGTACTCTTTGAAGCTAGCTCGAACATTAGTTAATTACAAATATCGTGCATATTGAAAGGTTGCTAATGTAATGTCAATTTCTGAAACGGAGGAGCCTAACAACCATGATAATTTTCGTACATTTGCAATATATTCAGACCTTTCCAATGTCATGGAAAGTATGCTAAAGTTCCACTTTGTCAAATACAGTAATGCGCCAGCAGTACGTCATTCGTATTAAATGATCATCGTATCGAAAAAATGGTGTCACACGATTCACCATATTGTCGCGAGTTAAGTGGATATCTCTAGGGCTCGATATACATCCACGACTGGACTAAATACATTTTTCAAATGGCGAAAGAAACATTCAAGTGTCTCGTCTTTTTAACATACTTCACTCCATGCGATCCTCTTAATCCATGCGATACACTTATACAACTCTCATATATGGACCGGAACTTGAAAGTCTATTTTGGAACTACATATTTCATCCTTTACAGTAGAGGATGCAAATAGAGTATCCAATTCTATTGATTCACTTGTACAACGTAGCAACTTCAGGTGAATTTCACTGATCTTTCGTTATTACAATAAAATCTGTTGATCTGAACTTCTTCCCGATATCTGTATATTTTTGCGCAACAATCATCATTCACATTTTTGATCAATTGGCAATTGCATTTCATTACCAAGTTTTTGCCGGGATTATTGTAAATATTTATGTAGTATTTATTTTGAAAAACCCCAAAAAATCAACAATATAAACTTAATGACTTCTCTTCTCTAAATATAACAAATTATCAAAAGTTATGATTGATATATAAATAATTGAATTTTTCACCACATTAAAATCCCTAAGTGACCAATAATAAAACAACAATTGATTACAATTTATAGAAAACTATAAAATTTTGAAATTCTATAACATTTCGAATATTTTATTAAGATGTTATTGGGTTAAGCGTCTGTCTGCCAGTCAATACATATGTAAAGTAACAAATGAACACCTCATCTTTTCATTGAAGAACATTGAAACTGTATTTTCAAAGTATTTTTATTCCTATTCTATACATGTTGTATTTGTATTGGATAGTTTTGTTGTTGTTGTTGTTTTTTTTTTTTTTTTTTTTGCTTTATACATAAATCTGGGTCAATTGTTGCATTTTTTGCATATATTAAAAAATTATATAGTACACAAATCCACTTACGACTGTAAGGGCGTGTATGTGTGTATTTACAAATATTATACATACATATAAATTCAGTGAGTAGAATATTATTGAAATTGTGGGAGTAAAAATAAAGGGTTATAAATTAAGGTGAGTCACTTATTGTTTTAGTCCTTTCAGTTGGACATGACCAACTATATCGCTTGTAGCATTGTTATAACACTTTTATTTTGGGATCCACTCGTATTTGGACTGAACAACGCTCTTGACCATAATTTAGTCTATAGTCTAGACTATAGTAAAGTCTACAGTCTGGACTATAGTCTAGTCTATAGTCTTGACTATAGACTATAGTCTAGACTATAATCTTGACTATAGTCTACTCTATAGTCTTGACAATAGTCTAGTCTATAGAGTAGACTATAGTCTAGTCTATAGTCTAGTCTATAGTCTGGACTATAGTCTAGTCTATAGTCTGGACTATAGTCTAGTCTATAGTCTGGACTATAGTCTACTCTATAGTCTTGACTATAGTCTAGACTATAGTCTTGACAATAGTCTAGTCTATAGTCTGGAAGATAGTCTAGTCTATAGTCTGGACTATAGTCTAGTCTATAGTCTGGACTATAGTCTAGTCTATAGTCCTGATTATGGTCTAGTCTATAGTCTGGACGATAGTCTGGAGTATAGTCTACTCTATAGTCTTGACTATAGTCTAGTCTATAGTCTTGACAATAGTCTAGACTATAGAATGGACGATAGTCTAGTCTATATAGACTAGACTATAGACTAGACTAGACTATAGACTAGACTATAGACTAGACTATAGACTAGACTATAGACTAGACTATAGACTAGACTATAGACTAGACTATAGACTAGACTATAGACTAGACTATAGACTAGACTATAGACTAGACTATAGACTAGACTATAGACTAGACTATAGACTAGACTATAGACTAGACTATAGACTAGACTATAGACTAGACTATAGACTAGACTATAGACTAGACTATAGACTAGACTATAGACTAGACTATAGACTAGACTATAGACTAGACTATAGACTAGACTATAGACTAGACTATAGACTAGACTATAGACTAGACTATAGACTAGACTATAGACTATAGTATAGTCTATAGACTATTCTATTATCTAGTCTAGTTTATACTCTGGACTATAGTCTAGCCTATTGTCTGGACTACAGTCTATACAATATTCTAGTCTCTAATATTGCCTATAGTCTGACAATTTGTAATTTTTTTATCTTATCCTTCAAAAATCGAATGTTTGATTCGAAAAGCTTATTTTTATCCGATTATTTTAGCAATCAATCTATTAAAATTATTCTATTAAGTAAACGTCAACTATCCTAGTTGGTCCCCTTAAAAATATCCAAAGTAAAAACTATGACAATGATGTTATTTGTAGATAAACAACAACCACAACAACTAGAAAATTATTTATCACTATTTGGCATTTAAATGACATTGACACTAGTAGAGATTAAAATTCAACAGCAAAACAAACCAATATCTTATGAAACTTTGACAGCAAGAAAAGTCAAATATGAACATAAAATAGGCAAACATACATATGAACAGTTTTTTTTTATTCTGAAACAAATTTGTGACAGATTTTTTATTAAAAAACTTTCTTATATAACCAAACATGTTTTTTTATATTTTTATTAAGTTAATATTTAATATATAAAGACAAATTTTATTTTAATCAAAAACTTTCCCTATTTTTTACATACATATGTATGTAAGTGTGCATTTTCTCTTAAGGAATCTATAAAATTTCAAAAAAACTCTAACTTTTTTATTGTTTATCAAAAAAAATGTTCGTACGTGTCTTTATTATTGTCGTGCAATGAACTTTTTTTCTCTTTACCAATTTATTTATAGTAGAAAACATGTGTTTGTAAGAAGAGTTGAACTATACCAATATTAGAAAAGTTGGCATAGGTCGTGACTACAGGCTTTTTTACTATTTACCTATATATACCACATATTGGTTGCATGTCAGTGATGGGAAATCTTGTTAAGGTTAGTAATGGTTTCTAAAGTGGATTTAAGAAAAAATTACAAAAAATTCATATAGAAAGTTTCGACATGCTTTTATAAAGAAACTTTTATAAAGAAACATAAGAAACTTTATATCTGGACTTGTGACAATTATATTATACTGATTACATCTTTCGACCAAAAAGATGTATAATAAATAAGTCTCTGGACTATAGTATACTAGTTTATAATCTGAACTATAGTCTACTTTTATAGGCCTACTTTATAGTCTGTATTATGGACTATAGTCTAGTCTATAGTCTGGAATGTAAACTAGTCTATAGACTGGACTATATAGTCTACTTTTATAGGTATAAAGTTTTGACTGCAGTCTAGTCTATAGTATAGGAACTACAGTGTATAGTCTAGCGTACAGCCTGGATTAGATTCTAGTCTATATTCTGGACAATAGTCTATAGTCTAATCCATAGTCTGGACTATAGTTTAATCTAAAATCTAATATTTTTTGACGATTGTCTAGTGTATAATCTTGACTATAGCCTATACTATAGCATGTACTATATTATAGTATCTAGTCTGGACTAAAGTTTTATCCGTAATGTGGACTACAATCTAGTCCATAGTCTGGACTACAGTCTAATATATTGTCTGGACTATAGTCTAATCTATAGACAGGACTATAGTCTAATCTATGGTCTAGACAAAAGTATATTATATAGTCTAGACTATATATAGCCTTATCAATAATCTGGTCCATAATCTAGTCTATAGTCTGGATCATAGTCTCACCTACAGTCTAGACTATAGTCTAGCCTAAAGTCTGGTCTACAGTCCATAATCTGTACTAAAGTCTTGTCCAGGATATAGTCTAAAGAATAACCTTCTTTACAGTCTGGACTATAGTCTAGTCTAGTCTATAGTCTAAACTATAGTCTGGATTATAGTTTAATCTACTGTCTGAACTATAGATTAATCTACAGTCAGTACTATAGTTTAATCTATAGTCTGGACTATAGTCTATATTTTGAACGATTGTCTATTCTATAATCTTGACTAAATCCTAGACTATAGCATGTACTTTATTATAGTATATATTCTGGACTAGAGTTTTATCTATAATCTGGACTATAGTCTAGTCTATAGTTTGGACTATAGCCTTACCTGTTATCTGGTCTATAGTCTAATCTATAATCTGGACTACAGACTAGTCTACAGACTGGACTATTTGGATTTGCTACATCATTCTGTAAACAATTGAAAGCCGATGGCACAGCTCAGTACAATTTAACTTAAATAATATTCAACTCTCATCGTATTCACATACTCGAAACTATTCACCAAGAATTTTTAAGTATTAACAGAAAAAGAACACAAAACAAAACTTGTATAGTTTGTTATCCTTTTATTGATTGACCTGGAAAATGGAAAAAAAAACTGAAAAAAGAAATAATAATGAACAATACGTCTGCCATTTACTGGCCGACAATACACATTAGTTTAGTTGAGAAAATAGTACTATGATCCGCAAAATCAGTCTGTAAGAAAATATGGCACTAGATGCTTAAGATGAAGATGAAAATAGAAGTTTTTTGAAATATTTTTGCACTTAAAATCAACATCATTATTATTTTTACCATAAATCAAGTGAATAGAAAAGAAAAAAATCTTAAAAACTTATACTGCATTATAATTTCTATAATATATAGAAAAATTACTTCCATCACATACACTTTGAAATGCCGCACTCTTAAATTGCCATAAAATAGTTTAGCTATTGTTTTGGAATAGCTATAGTAAAGGATATAGTTATAGGTACACTTCTTTTTAGAAAAAACAAACGAAATAAAAGTAAATTTAAAGAGGATGTTAATATTAAAATTCGACCACCACTTGTTTAATTAAAAATTTATCAAATTACTTTTTATTTATACATATATCCTCAATTACTATCATTTGCACCTATAATAAATTAACCCACTTCCTCCAAAAAAAGCAAAATAAATAAAAAAAACAAAATGTTTGTGTAAATTTAAATATTGTAAATTTGTTTAAGACATTTTTAATCATATAATTAATATTGCATGAGAAAAATTGTTAAACAATTTTTAAATTTTCATCGAAAATTTTCCCCCCAAAGAAAATAGAAACAAAAAACATTTTGTTTATTTAATTATGCCAAAATATTGTTTAAAATATTGAAAAGAGTGGCGTTTTTTTTCTTTTTTATTTTTATTATTATTGCCTATTGTATTGTTTTGAAATATTAATAATATTTAATTTATGGCAAATAAGATGAAAAGATTGGCAAAATGTGAATAAACTTTATTTGCATTTTTATACGTACCGCCTTCTTCGTTGGCTTTCACTTCGCTCCATTTAGACAACTGAAAGGAAATTGAAAAGTAAAAAAAAAAAC